CATGGAAAGGATATAACATCATTTCCTCCTTCACGCCAAACAGGAAATTTGAGTCAAAGCACAAACTTATTGAGCAAACGGTTCTTTGACCATTCTGTTTTCTACCCTACCAATTCTCTTCCAGTTCCCTTGGTGCATAAAATACCCAGCATTCTCCTTCCTGTCAGATTCCAAAATTCAGAGTAGTTTTCTGTTATTCAAAAAACTATAGTTATCAACATTTGGAGAAAAATAATATCCCAGCATCTGCTTCAGAACTATCTGGCTTGGATTGGAAATCTTGAAACGCCACCACTTAGGCTGTTCTTTGTTGGTCATCTCACTGACTGCTTCAAAAACAAGGACTATTTGAAAATTCAGGAAGAGGCAAGTTTGAGGAAGATTATTCAGGACAAATAGGGGAGTAGAAGATTTCAACTTGAATCCTCTTTTCTATGTTTTATTTTTTCTTTCAAAAAGTGGTTATCTTTCTCCCACCCCAATCTCATGCTTTTTCTGTTTTAATTTCCCAAACACTAGACCTAAGCAGCTAACAAGTTCCCTGCCAATTACAAGGATGAGTTCCAGGGAAGCTCTATTGATTGAAATTTTGTGCAGATCTGGCCCACAGTATTTCTTCTCAACCAGCATTAATGGTGCATTTTCAAACATGGGGAAGGTTTGCTATTAATTATTGTCCCCAGAATTAGTATCAGTAAATCACTAACCAAGTGGCCAGATGAAACCCTGTCATTCTCAAGCACCTATTACATTTGATTTTCAGTCTGCTAATAGCAAATCAAGGAATTAATAATACATCTAAAGAATGTGATAATCTGAAAAGTACTCTCTGGAGACTCATACTGCTTTAAGAATGATATATTGCTTCCAAAGCCAAGATGGAATGTCATCAATTAATTTGTATGAACACTTTCATTAGCAAGAAACTGATTTTATAATGCTGGATTTTCTCCAAATCTTGTATGTTCTGCACACCAATTAATGCTAAAGGAGGTGTGGATATTAACAATATAGTACCATCAGTACTCAAATTTATAGTGCCTCAGAGTCATTAAACTGATCCTTGATGACCTTCTTAAGGTAAAAACGGTATAAAGTGTGCAAAGCAACACTGCTGTGAGATTTCAGCAAAACCAGATGCCATACGCTTCTGAAGAATAACTCTCAAATTTCTAACACTCAAGAAACTTATTTTAGCATTTAAAAATTACAATATAACAACAAACAGTAACAAAACCATTTAGAATTAAACTGAATAAGCAGATTTAACAGCTTACATTTTTTTCCTGGTGGAGCTGTTCAGTTGATAGTCTTGGTCCTTCAGTGCAACCATATGGGGTTGAAATATTACCAGAAACCATTATGTTCATTACAGTGGCTCTAGATACCATTCATTAACCAAATACAGAAAAATAAACATTTGCATTTAGACAGATACAGGGTAAATCATAGAAGAAGAGCCTGTTTTTTTTCCATTCACTTTCCACTCCTTTCCAGATGATCCTGTAAAGTTACCAGTTCTGTTTTTGAGAGCCTGATCAACCCTGGGAGTCACCAGGAGCTGATTAGTGAGCTGCGTTAAAGCTGTGGCATGCCAGGAGAAGACAACCAAATTAATGATTCAATTCACCTGTGAGTTAGAGGGCTCACAAAACGATAATAAATGAGAATGTGACTTTAACACCTTTTACACTGAAGCCATGTAATCAGATCCAGATCCTTGTGGTAAGAAATAGATCTTACATTTAAATCTCTCTGGCCTATTCAAGTGAGATTATGCTGCCATTGATCCTTATTAATCCAGGTATTGAATTTCTGTCACATCTAAACCACAAAAAGTAATTCCATTTTTCATCTTTTTACTTGCTGACAATAAGGCAGGCTGAATTTTGTTGGATCTTTAAATGGTGGTTTACTCTGAATGCTGCTTTTTGTTGCTCTTGGGGCAGGACAGAGTTAATAAGAATGATTGTGCTGTTGACATAAGTGGTGTATTGAATTCTAGAAAGCAGCTGCTGCAAATTAAGTGAGTTAGTGACTAGAATAATTAAAATATCAGGCAGTTGTTATTACTTCATAGAGTAATATGTGGGAATTGCTAACTGATTTCTCTAAACAACATTAGTATTTCAGAATATACAGTACAGATTTGGAATGGAAAATAATTCAAAAGAAAGCTTCATGTTCGTAATTATGATTTGGTATTACTGTTCATAAATATTCTTTCAAATGTACAGAGGAGGTTTTTTGCTTGTTTATTTTGCTTGGAAAAAAACAAAGTGTTGTTCTGGGCTGTTTTTTTTTGTGGTTTTTTTTTTTTTTTTTTGGGGGGGTGTGGGCCGTGCAGGGGGAGAGTTGCATCTCATTCTCATGGAACAGCCCATTCTGTATATACATTTTTTTATCATAATCCTGGCTGGACTGCCTCCATATGGACACTTAACAAGCTGCCATGCTTGAAGCTACATCCTGGGTCTCTATATTTATATATTTCTTTTGACTTGTATATGTCTTACTCCGTATACCTTTTTCTGGCATTGAAATACACTGTGCATGGTGATTATTTACCCTCTGAGACAGTATCTTCCAGATCCAGTCTACATTGCGATTCCTCTGTATGGAATCCTCAGGATGATTTATTATTTAAGCCATTGGGGAAAAGTACTAATTTTCATGTGGAGTTCATAGGTGTTGCAATACAACTTTAAATACACCTATATCTTCTTCATAAAGTCCTGAAGTGATTATAAAATCTGAATGCAAAGGGTTCCTTATGGCGTTATAATTTAATCTTATTTTTTCCAACATTTGCTGTTCATTAGTCCTTTATCTCTTTCTTTATCTATGTCCTAATCAGGAAATTAGAGCTTTCTAAATGGCCCATACCTTCTTTTATAATAGTATTAAGCTAAAAGAGTAGGCATTTGCAGAGCGGTACAATGCTCCTTTGCAGTATTTTGCTGAAAAAACCCCTAGTTTCAGAAGTGCTGATGTACCTCGAGAGCCCAAGAGATATATTATTTCCAGCCATGATGCTGGCACTCCAGCCATGCTCCCATGACCTCCACAGGTGAAGGTTGGACCTTCATCTGGGAACCTGGCTAAGGGGGAGAGGGAAGTGCTTGAAAGGTCTCTGAAGATCACTTTCGTAAAGAGTCAAGTAGAGCAACCTGAGCATAAACCCATGTGGGATATTGTTTAATCCAGCTAGTGCAAGCCACCAGACACAGGGGAGGGGAAGATGGATTTAACCTCTCTGATCCTGGCACTCTATCAGATGATTAAAGGCACTCATGTAACTGGAAAAGTAGATTAAGTATGTAAACATGCAGCTATAAAGTACCTTTATGTTTACTGCCTGAATTTTTTTCACAGGCTTTCCAAAATCCCTTTGTTGGCATTTTTTACTGATAAATGTATTCATTTCAGGCAGTTATGAATTGAAATCTTACACCAAAAATTGTCCAATACAGCCCCTTTCAAATTTATGAAAGGCGTAAAAATGTTCTTCTTCTGCCTAATGAGCATAGAACAGATAATGAACATGAGAGCACTGTTTAAAATTTTCATGTGTAGCAGTAATCTAAATCTCAGATGAAATAAAATTGAGTAAATTGTCAGGTTAAGAGGACAGAGAAGCCACCATAACAACTGATAAAGAAATTGCTCTGCACATCTGAATGTGGACTTGGTGGGCTTGTAAGTCTCATCTAGATAGAAACTGGTTATGCATGTTGTAAAATTATGATTATATTGGTGGAAGATGGTAGAGAATGGTTATTTAGTGATTTACTGTTCCAGGCACAAGATTGCATTCACCATAATGACTTCATTGAACATAAATTTTACTGCTAAAAAATCACATTATAGTATCAGAGTAAAATACAAAAATGTCATCTCAAGCTAAATGATCTTCAAAAAGGAATTAAATCACATCTATGCACTTAACAAGTCTAAACTTGGAAAATTAAGGAAATACTACAATAAAGACCTAAAACTTCTTGAAGTTAATCACCTGAAGCCAAAAAACATTCATAGCTGTTTATTAAGGACTGCAAAGGACTGCGAAAACTGCTTGCCACTACGATAGCACAAAGAAGCACAGGCAAAAGTGGTACTAAAATTTTCCATGAAATCAACTGTAAAAATCACAGACCCTCTCGCCATGTATGAAACTGCTCCAGTAAGAAAGGAAAAAAGTGTTTGAAAAGTTGTATTCTCTTAGTGAGTATGAAATAGAGCTGGATAGTTGTTAGGCGTACACAGAGCTGTCTGTCCTGCAGTGTTTCCATGCTGGTGCAGCAGTGTACTGCAGCAGGAGGTGATGCTACCACAATTTATATGACTTGTATGTGCTTTTACACTTTCTCCTGCAGGCTTATGGCTGCAACCTGACTAAATTCACACAGAGACTGATTACAAAGATAAATGGTAAAGAGGCACTTCTGCTTCCAGCCTCAGGCATTTTCAGACCCATAGCAGATATATTATATACCGATTTTTAAAGGTTAACCAGTGGAAGTCATTGGTGTGAAACCACTTGTATTGTATTTCAAGTTAACTCATCTCTGTTCTGGTGTTTCTCAAAAAGGTCAACCACCTACCACAGCATTATAAAAGAAGCAAGTAAATCTGGCTGTATAACTCCGTCACTGACTGCCGAAATCCACAGTTTGGGAAAGTGTCCCAAATTCACTGAAAATAATGAGTTGAAGTTAGAGGAAAAAACCACAACTACACATGGATAAAAGATGGGAAAGTAGTTGGTTGCAGAAGCTGAAAATATGTGACAGGCTTAAAATATCCGCTGAAAAAATTGCATTTCTTCACCAGCATAGTCAATAACTTCATTTAGATTCATCTTTATCAGTGTGTTTTATCCACACAGAGCACAACCTCCTGGCACAAACAATACTCAGATACTCCGGACGGTCTTCTGGTACCAGCAGATTAAATTTGGGTTAGTCATTACCAAGATTCACTACACTTATACCAATATGTGTAAGTAGACACATTTTTATTTGCTTCATTATTCCCAAGCTCATTTGCAGATAGTGAAGTCTGTCTTTGAGAGGTTGGTGTACTTGGAGTTACGAAGATGGATGAGAAAATCTGAAATACAGGGTGATAAAAATTATGATAATTAAACAGATAAAAGATGAATAGCTGGATAGCATGACAAGGATAGTCAAGGGGAAGCCAGCCAGCTCCCACCATATTTTATGATTGTCAGGGCTCTGCATGGGGCAGATGACTGACGGCTGGTATTATCAAGGAGAGTGGAATCTGCCCTGTTTTAACCTTTTATTTGTTTAACCTTTATGCTGTGTGTGTAAGATTGTGCAGCTGAATTTCTTATTACTTGGAAGGGATTGCATTTTTTTCGTTTATATCAGTGATGATCAAAGTTTAGCAAAGTCCTCATATAAGTAGCTGTCAAAATGGATCTGTAATTATAAAAAGATTGTATCCGTCTTCAAGTTTTCTTGTTGTTTCTGCAGGGTTCCCTATTTTCCTACAACACTGAAAAGGGATTAAAAGCACAGAATTTGGAAAATATTATTTGCTCTAAAAACATGGAAAAGGTGGATACATAGAAAACACTGGTATCCAGATTTATTAGTTTTTGATTTGGATCTATCTAAAGGTTAAATAGGAATTCTATGTATTTCAAAGAAAATGAACATTTTAACTCCCAAGTACATGAGTATAGCAGTAAATAGGGCACATATCAGTTCAGTATTATTATATTCAGGGCAGGCATAATCATCTTATCTCAACATGAGATATTCACACATCTGAAGTTCCTTGTAAAATTCCTCTGAACTTGAGTGTTTTCCAGTGTAAAGATGCTGGACAATCAAAAAATAATTGCACGGACAAGTACACTTGACAGCTATTAGGCCATTTATTTAGTAATGCCTGAACTAAAATGGAGTAAGGTCACCTGCATTAGTTATAGCCCTGCTGTGCCCAAGTATGCGTAAGCACTAGTCACGGCCAATAAAGAGCATCAAGGCCACTGTCTTCAGCATCTGACGTTACTGAGGACTTCATCAATCAGCGTTCATCTAATTTTAGCTAGTAGTCATTGAAGAATTTTCCATCAAATCCACTTCTTGCCATAAAATTAAAAATAACTTCTCATTGAGATAACTTCATACATGAGAACAAAGCACAAGGACCTCTAGGTTTGTAAAGTAAATCTCAAAACAGCCTGAAACATTATTTCAAGGTAGAAAGAACTGACCTGACAGGATTAAGACAGTGGTTTCCACCTTCAATCTGATTATCGGAGTGATTTTAATTTGGCTGGTTAGTTCTTCATTTGCCTGTGCATGCCAACCACCCCCAGCAAGATGACTGGGCAGCCAGAGAGAAGCCACCTTATAAACTCCATCAGTTCATAACACAAAATATTGTGTATGGCCCTGATCTATTGTGGTGGTCACAAAAGCTACAAATGCCAATGAACAGGCCAGATTAAACTGCTAACAGATTGTCTGCTGTCATTACTCCATATTCCAAAATTATATCACATCACTACTGGCACACAGACATCATTAATCCCTTCTAGGCTGCTGAAAAACCCCTTCTTGACAAGTTGGTGTTATATTTGTTATACAAAAATATATGGCACATAGAATGTTGTAAGGGTGGTAAATAGAGTGAAATAAATAAAATATAATTCCAAATGCTAATGTAATGATTGGATTATTTGTTTACCTCTATTATTTAATTTAAATGATGCTGTCTGGGAGCTGGAGTTCCATAATTTCAGTTATAGAAAATTATGTATTCACTCTTCTGTTTTCTTTGAGCCCTTGATGTCAAATACGTTGCTGTTATTTAATAGTATCTACAGAAGAAGAATGGGCTGGAATTTTCTAAGAAATTTAAGAATATGACTATTTATTATGCAAAGGTTCATGATTATATTATTCATTCTGCAACCTTTTGCCTTTTATGTGTTTACGAGATTCATGGACAAGAAAAGAAGATTTAAAACAGATGCCTCGTGGTATTTTTACAGTGAGTTTTCTACTTGCACTTTATTTTTCCTCAGTTTTGAATGATACTTTGGTGAATGTCTTTTCCAAGAATCATATCAAATAGGCAAAAACTGTGATAGCAATCAAAATGTTTTAAACAGAATTGTATTTGGAAGTGTATGCCGCAGTCTTTCTACCAAGCATATTAAGAGAATTTTATTTAACCACAGACTTTTCACTGGCTAAAATCATACAGCTGGCCTATGGTTAGGTATAATTAAGGTCATAACACTGAAGGTAACAGAGCAAAGCTGATTTTCACCAGCTGATACTTTGTATCCTGCTGTACAATTTTGTTATTTAAAAGCCAATAATAAAACACAAATCTTGCTCCCATAGAGTTGTAAGGCCAGAAAAGCAGCAGCAGCTGCAGTGGCAAAATGAGCAGACCATGCAGAGGAATACAAAATCCCTTGCATGCCACAGAAAATAGTGGCACAGAGTGTGCATGAGCACTAAAGGCACTTATGGGCAGGCCAAAAATCAAGCAAAAAGATGGTATCAGTGGGTTTGTGAACTATGCACATATCAGTGACCAAGCCTCTCCTTTCATACACATGATATGACCGGCTGTATCCATAAGGAAAGCTTTGTTTCAAGTCCTTCTCCCAGGTTAGAGAAGGGGTGCCATGCCACAGTGCTGAAGTGGTCCTTATCCCACACCCTTTTCATTAGATTTAGTTCACAGAGTAAAAACGCAGCCTTAAAAAGCCAGAGGAGAAAACACTCGTGGCATTAAAATCTGGAATCACAAGACATCCTTAAATATAAACAACCCAAGCAGGAAAGCTAAGGTGGGTTATTTTCTTCGATTTATTTTTCTCCAATTATTATGGTGCTTGTCAAAAGGTGGACTTTCAGGGAAAGGGGGTCTGAAAATTTGACACAAATTTTAGTGATATTTAATAGAAATTGTCCCTTCTCAGCTCTCCTACCATATGAGAACAAAATGTAAGGAGTGTCAAAAATTTTTTGAATTGCAAATATAGACCAATTTTGCACTTTAGAATCAACTTTTTTCAGTTTTTCATTCAAAACAACACTTCCCCTTTATAAGTACCTCTCTTTTTTTTCTTTTTTTTTTTTTTTTTTTTTCCTATTTTCAGACAAACCAGATTTATGAAGGATTAAATAACCCAACAAGCAAAAAAATTCATTCCAGGTTAACTCAAAACATCTTTCTAAATTCTTCCTGCCTCTCCCCTCAACCCGGGGCTAATTTTGGTTCAGCTTGAATTTTATTTCTGATTCTTCGCCAAACTGAAAAACCCCACTATCCACCCAGCTCCACTAACAGAAAGGCCTCGTGCAGAGAAATATGTGTGAAGAGACGGGCTATGTAACTCTCGCTACGACTACAGCCAGGCTGGCAGAAGCAGAGCTCGTGGATGCCGCGGGCTGAGGTCTATCGCCGCTGCCGCCACTGCCGAGCCCTCTGCCTGAGCCGCCGCATGGACAGGCTGATCGGCTGCTTCCCAAACTTCTTCATGATCTCCTTGATTCTCGCCAGGTTGGTTTTGGAGATGGTGAAGTCGCACTGGGTCGCTCCCATGTCGTAGCCGACTTCGCAGGTCTTGGTGGCGGCGGTGTAGCCCTCCGCCTTCACGCCCACCACGTATTCCCCCGGGTTGAGAAGACGCCAGTAATCCCCATCAGCTCCTGGTAGGAAAAGAGATGGATTTCAGGAGAGTGGCCCTTTCTCTTTGAGGAAGGTGTTGTTTATGAGAACACGGAAATCCCTGTACATGGATAAGATGACACCACAGGCAGCAATCCTGTACCCTCACACCAGGAAGGGGGTCAGTGAGGCTGCCCACCGTCACACGTACCCCTGCTCATCCTGCCAGCCTTACAGGAAAACACACTTCAAATGATGAAAAAAAGGACATTGGCCTTCAGTCCAGTTTAAGATTTTTGTCAGCTGAAGTCAGGAAGATCCTAAGGCAAAGGGTCACCTTGTAACGGCTGGTGATTCCTAAGGTGTATATAATAGCTTTCCCAAACTAATTCTAAATAACAAATCAAGAGGAGCCCCCGTGGGGTACCCACATCGCGCCCATGATCCTGGCCAGACTGCCTGGACACGTGTGTTTTGGTGCTATTTATTATGCAGAGTGTGCGAATGCATAATGTCAACTCTCTTAGAGATCTAAGTAAATACCCCCTTCTACAAAATCTTACATTGAGTTTCATTACACTAATTTTCCTGCAGACTATATTTCATCAGGGTACTTAACTACTCGCTTACCTGTAAATGCATGAACAGAGCTCCTGTAATCAACTAAACTACTCATGCACAAAGCAAGATGTATTTTAACACCTCGTTGAATCAGGACTTTCTGTTTTCTTCTTTTTTCCCTGTAAATGATCTCAGATTACCCATACATACATAAGGATGGTTTCAGACTTCTCTTTAAATATTAACTAGCAAGTATGCTTAGCCATTGACAGAAAAAGGTGAAACACTAATACTTCAAATTAGTTTTGCACTCTGTGTTGGGAAGACCCACTGTAGAATGAAAGTGCATATTCAAATATGCAAATAGTAATGCAACATCTCTTGTATGAAGAGGGGTTGTGGGGTTTTTTTAGCATTGATGAGAACTGACAGTCTTACTATCACTTGTCTTGGGTTGCTTGCAATGCAGTGTGTTGTGAAAACTAATGATGATTCGCATTAAAATAGATTAGGGAAAACATCAGACTAGCTAACCTCATGTTGCAGCTTAACCCCAGACGGCAACTAAGCCCCACACAGCCGCTTGTTCACTCCCCCTCAGTGGGATGGGGGAGAGGATTAGAAGGGTAGAAGTGAGAAATCTCATGGCTTAAGATAAGAAGAGTTTTATAATTGAAATTAAATAAAATAAATAATAAAAAACTACTGATAAAAAATTGTAACGAAAAGGAAAATAACAAAAAGAGAGAGAAATAAAACCCAATAAAAACAAGTGATGCAAATGAAAAACAATTGCTCACCACAAACCGACTGATGCCCAGACTGTTCCTGAGCAGCAGCCCCTCCAGCCAGCTTTTCCCCCTAGTTTATATGCTGGGCATGATGCCATACGGTCTGGGATGTCCCTGGGGTCAGCTGGGGTCAGCTGTCCCCACTGTGTCCCCTCCCAGATCCTTGTGCCTCCCCAGCCCCTGTGCTGGCAGGGCAGCATGAGAAGCTGAAAAGCCCTTGACTGTAAGCACTCCTCAGGGGTATCTGAAATATTAGTGTGTTATCAACATTATTCTCACCCTAAATCCAAAACACAGCACTATACCAGCTACTAGGAAGAAAACTAGCTCTATCCCAGACAAAACCAGGACATAGAAAAGAAACAGGATTTTAATTTAGGGGTTGGTAAAATAAAAAGCACTGTTGCAAACATCAAATGTTAGCAAAACAGCAATATCAACTATACCCTGATATTGCAGTCTCTGAACACAAATGTGAAATTGTGTGCAAGAAGCACATCCAATCAGGTCACTTCTTGCATGCCACCTTGCTGAGGTTTTTCTTTCAGCCAGTTTGACCCCGCCTGCAGTGATGAAAAAGGTCCAGATTTTGTATTTCTCAGGACTCACACATTTTTAGGAAGGGCTCTCTGAGAAGCTCTTTATTCCATTCTCCCTTAATATTGGGTCTGTTGGCACCTTAACCAAAAGACAAAACATAAAGCTGTCCAAGTTTCTTGAATTTATCCCTAAGGGCTCATTTTTAGCTGTAAATGCTCTGGCGATACTACCAGGCTGGCAAAAGGCTACAGATCACCCTGTGCGTGGCTGTGAATGCATCCCTGCTCAGAGGCTGGCTTTAGCCCTTGGCATTCAAAACTGACCCACATTTTTCTGACACATTTAACAGGCAGTTCATCACAAGCCTGCACAAGGCCAGAAAAAAATCTACGCGTTCACAGACCACCGGGAAATTATTGCAAAGCTGGATATTAAGCTGTTAGCAGGATGCACTTTACCTCCTTTCCATTTATAAGTAAGTAGACATTAGTATTTGTCAGCTGTCATTGTCCAGAATTTAATACCAGACTAAAGGTTTTTTTTTTTTTTTTTTTGCAAATCAGATTAAATGCAGTAGGTAAAAAATTTCAGAGCAGATGGCAAGAGAAAAACAATTAAAAATACAGATAAATTTAGTAAATAACAGGTTTGCTAAAAGAATAGGCTCCAGTGGGAGCAGGCTGGAGGCAGACTAATCTATCCCCACCTATTGGGTCTGGAAAAGAATTGCCATGCCCGCTTAGATTAAATAACAATGAGTAAAAATACAAAGACAGTATTAGTATAAATTAAATGTGTCAGGTGACTCCATAGACACTTTAATTAAAAGCAACACTCTTTGAGCCTGATAGGACAGACCTTTGTTACAATTAAGTGTCATATATACACTGAAATGTACCAAATTTTACTAATTTAAATAAATTATAAAAATCAGTCCTAATGTTCTGTTACCTACAAAAAGGCTTTCCAGGAAATCTAGCCATAGTGCTGCACACCCAATGCATGTAACGACTAAAACTTTTTTCTGTACTGAACAGGCAGCCAGAAATGATTCTGGAGAGTTATAATACCAGAATTATTCTTAGCTTAGATTAATTCTATTAAATATTACTAACTGCTACTTCAAAATCTTTGGATTTGGTTACGTAATTTATACTGAAATCATACAAAACTTACCAAAATATTCATAAACATGTATTTGAACATTGTGCAAAATTAAATTCATTCTGCTTTGTTGAAAAAATCACCCAGAGATGTTCATCTGTCTTTGAAATCTGGCTGTGATACAGAAATGCTTCACTAAAAAGAAACTGTACATTTTTTCACCAAGATTTGTTTTGAGATTTCCAAAATGTGCAATTACAGGAAGCAACCCATAAAACTGCCTTTGCTTCATGAGGAAAAAAGGTGTCCACATGCATTTGGTCATCCAATTGATGGACTCTTTTCCAAAGGTTATCTCATAGAGCACAGTCCACATCTAACCCTAATAATATGCAATCACTCAGACTTAATCAATAGTTACATCTGCATCAAGAGCAAATGGAATAAATTTCCACAAAGCTCTTACTCTCTGAATCAATTACTTCAGTTAGCCTATTAATATTGTTAGCTTAGTGTCAGCAACCTTCTCTTCCCATAAGATATATTGTATGTCTAAGAGAAAGTAAAAAAAAAAAGTGCTTTCCATGCTTTCTTTTTTTTTTTTGTTCACCGGAAGAAGCAGAGAAATTTTCTCAAACGAGTAAATGTTATCAGAGGCCCTTTACAGACAACTTTTGTCTGGCTCTACAGGGTAGTTGACCACGTTAATGTATCAAAGAAACAGTAGATACCTTACAGCTTAGCTCACTTCAAACAAAACTTATATGAAAAGAGATAGCCATAATTAATCTCCTGATTGGCCCATTTTTATATCAGTGCAACACAGAGATTTAAATGGATACATTTTTCATTTTAAAAGGTACAAATGAAAGACTGCTGACAATTTGCTTTCTTTCTCTGCAGTTATACATGTCATTTTAGCTTTTTGGCTCCAACATAAATTCTCTAGTCTCAAAGACTAATGAGGCATACATTGTTATCTATATAATATAAAACATGATAGAATATTTGTGTTCCTGTCTACAAAGTGATTCCCAAACAGAGTGTCAGCTTAAACATCTCATTAAAAAGAATTAAAAAGAATGAAATAAGTACTTTTATTTTTACTAACAAGTGGAGATGGCCTTGAGCCATAGAAGCTCAGCTTTAAGTCTAGCTGTAAATAGCTGCAAGATTCCCCAAGTGTTACGATTCTGGGATTTGCACGTTTATTACACATGCCACTGGGACTCCTTTCTGTATGAACATTTACTGTCTTTAAACTGTTGATTTTTCTTTCATGTGGCAATCCAGTGTACTGAGAGCTGGAGATTAATAGTCTATTGCATTTACTCAGCTTTAACCTGAGCAATATATTAATTCTGTTAATAGAATAATACAACTTACAGTTTATGGCACTCTTTCAAGACTGCCAAGAGTCCCAAGACAAGAAAAAACAACAGATTACTTTAATTCCCATTATCATTTCCCAGTGGTCCCATTTTGAAATATTCAAGGCAGAATCATTATTACCTAATTAAATATCTGTCATTTAGTGCTTTCTTTTACAACAGAGACACAGTAGCACTGAAATAGAATTAATCTCAAACTAAGTTAGATATTCCAAGACTTATTATTGGCTCAGATAATCTACTGTAGCAAACAGTAAAGATTTTGAAGTCTCTTGCCTAAAGCTCTATGATATTCCATAGCCTGAAATCAATTTATGTGTCCAAGTGTGCCATACTGTATTTTAGTGGCAAAGCACGTGAAAAGTGGCAGCAAATGAAAGATCCAGAATGCCAGCCAGGACATGAGAAATACATAGAATTAGTGTTACTGTTTCTAATATTAAACCAAATCCAGACTATGCAACAATATGATTTGTCTGATTATTCACCATGATGCTACCTTTTCATAAGCGTCCAACAGAAACCTTGTTAACCTCTTGCAGCCATCACTTTGAGTGCAATCACTAAAGGCTCCTGCTGACATCTTGCTTTGTTGTTCCTTTCTGCATGCTCCTCTCCCTGCTATATCCCCTCTGCTGTTTCTCCATTTAAGATGACCACGTTTCTTAAATGACGGTACAGTACCCACACAAACTTGATGGCCATTGGACACTATCCTGCCTGCTACCTGCCAATATCAATTTTCAGGCAGTTAGTGTCTGTTTAAAGCAATTCTTTGTTTAGTGCCGTAACTACTTTCCAGGCCATTAAATAGGATTAGAGTTTACTCTGAGTATACATACCTGCGTCTGGGTAGAGATTGAGACTGTGCTAACAAGGCAAATAGACATTTGTGTGTTTTTTTTTAAACTATTGAAAAATAATTCTCTGGGCTGAAATTCAGCTGTGCAAAGCAGGTTTCTACTGAGCTCCATTAAATGATCTTTTATAAACTTGTGATGTTTTGCAGAAGACTCTTCAGGTTGTGGAATTCCCCTTTCCCTACAACAGCTGTTTCTCCTCTGGACACAGCTCTAAATCACATCTCCAACACATTCACAGTCATGTAACTTAACAGCCAGAGAAACACTCTTCACCCAGCATGGCATTACCTACACCCTTGTTTTTCAGTGCTGTAATTATTCTGGGTTAGATTGCCACTACCTTTATGTGAGAAAAGGAGCAGTAAGGGTTCTTTAGACATAGCCTTACTCAGGCTATTGATTTTGAGCAGATAAAGTACTACTTTCTTAATATATTAAAAGAAGTGGAAAGAAGAAGAGTGGTAGAGAGGAAAGCCATAGTTCTGCTCTTGTCTACACAACTGCGCCATGGAAACAAGTGACTCCCTCCTCACTTGCCATTCCTCCTGCAACAATCTCCTTGGACAGTGGCTTTTCTCAGAAAAGAGTTCAAAGTTGCAATGAGGTTCTGTATTTTGTTTTTAAACCATAAATCTGTTCATTTGCACCAACGTTTTGGGGTTTTTACCTGTGCGAATGTCATGGTTAACACCTTCTACTGAAATAACAGCGTTAGGGATTCCCTTTCCATGCACATCTGTTACTACGCCTTTGATGCCCCGATGGACCTATTGAGAGAATAAACAAACAAATAAATACTGCAGAACAATGAACAGTACTATCATTGGGAATATACAGCAAATTATTAATTCCATTTGTGCATTACACGTATTATATTCCTACTTTATAGTTTGCACAATCTTGAAATATCATTATTAACCCAGTATCAGCCTTCCAGGTATTAGCTTCTTGTGAATCAGCTTACAAATTCTGTTATAATTCCCAAGACATCAAATTCAAGAGACAGATAAAATGAGCAGATAAAACAGCAGATGTAAGGGTTTTTTTCTGGCAGTCCTTTCTAGCAACCTCTGCACTCACATCAAATTTTAACAAGCTTCATCATTTTATTCTAAATCAAAACAGCCTGGCTGAAGTGATATGCCAGTATTGCTTGTAGGTAAGGCTTCTATCACAAATACCAATAATCATGTAGTTAGTCATGCAAGAAAAATATCAGGAACCTTAAACTCCCTTTCAATCTGAAAGCAGTCATCAAGTTATTCAGAAGTTGCTCTTCTGCTGAATACCTGTTCCATAAAAACAATCAGGGACTCGCGGTTGTTTTCCCATTCTTCGGGCAACTCACTCTCATGGGGATACTTGTCACAGCCAACATAGATGGATAACTCAAAGCAGTTTGTGTGCAGGTAACTGAAGTCATTTATGCCTGTCAATAGGAGGTAAAAAAGAAACTATTTTATATCCTCTTTTACTCTATTGATTAGACCTGATTATTTTATGCCACGTAATACAACTTATTTAAACACTAATTGGGAATTTATCTAGCTGGCTTAGTCTGCAGACCTGGCAGGGCAAAAGTTTTTTAGAAATGCCACATGTCTTGTGATGAAGAACCAGATTAACATAAGAGCTATACATTTAACGAAACAAAACTTTTTAAAGACTGTATCACATCAACACGTTCAAAACAGAGGACACAAGCTTGCACCATTACAACACAGGCCACTGTGTGAGTCAGCAGCACATCCCCAATTCCTTTATTGCAAAGAACAGTGTCCTTCTGCCATCACAACACTTAGAGGAAATAGAGATTTAGCAGAAAACAAACAAACAAACAAATTAAATTAATTCCAGATAAAATATCTATGATATTGATGGAGAAAACTGGGACAAAACGAGGAACATGTTAGAAAAGGTCTCACTTTACAGCAAAAAGCTTGTGCTTTGCTTTTAAGAGCTTGTGCTCCTCTTTCCTATGGAGCAGCTCTCGCTTGTGATTGCCCTGGGTAGAAATGGCATAGTCTACATTAGCTTGCATGGATGTGCAGCCATTAATCGAATTTACACAACCCTGATTGTCAGGACACAGACTAATGTGCACACAGTGATTGTTATGTAAAAGTGAATTATCAGAGCAGCTGATGAAATAGCTTCTCAGTCTAAAATGTTTTCCCACAGAGGTAATCTAAATGATAGGCAAGCCAGAATAATCAAGATAGTAATAATTCTTTAAAGTTATATATATTGTCTGTTAGTTTGTAAGGAAAGAAAAGATCTATTATGTTTTCTCCCTACTATGGTTTTGCAGTGGACTGCAATGTGCACCTTGGCTCTGCAATAGGGATTTCCATTAGATATAAGTCCTAATCAAAACCCAGGAACTTCAGTGCCTCTGACCTCTGTGGAACTGTGGTTTAAGTCTACATTACAGAGGGTGCTGTGACCTTTGCAAAGGCCCTTAGCACCAAGGAAGACTGTAGATACAGATCTCAAACATTTCCATTATCCAGGTTTCTCTCACATTTCTCACAATTATTTTTCCTTTGGGAAATTCCATTTATTAGTTCTCCACAATCACACAGATAACATGATACAGTACATAAACACTAGAGTAAGAGATGATGTGAGCTCAATTTCTTATTCCGTCAACGTTTTTAATAATAATAAAAAAAATGTTTATTAATGATCATTAATTGTTATATTTTAAATGGCAAAGATTAGCAGAAAATGCATTCACCAAGTGCTTCTGGTTGAAAAGAGGTAAAAAACCCCCGTAGTACTGTCCAATTGCCATAGAGCAGTAGTCAAGTATTTAATGAGCCCTCAGTGCCTTCTGGATGCAGAGCAGGAGGATTATATAATACAGATGCTAAGCTTTTCACTTTTGTTGATGGGGAAAGCCTAAATATCAGACAGTGGCATATGCTACTCTGCATAAATGTGATTCCCCTCTGTTTGAGAAACAGCCACAATTATTTTCCCCTCACATACTGTATTGCATCCTGATTAATCTGTTGTGAAATGTTTTGCAATACACAGTAATTGCTTGGTTTTAATACATGTATTTAAGAAAATGGCTTAACGTTGCCAAGAGCAACTCTCTGTGTAGTGTCTGAACACGCAAATCCAGTCTTGAAAACACTGAAAGTAAAATTAAATTCATCTGTTCTTTGCCTTTGTGCAGTTCACCCAGTACAGAAACGTTATGTGTGAAATTGCTGAAGAACTCGCATTCATTGCAGTCCAAAATATATGCAGAAAATAGTAAGACTGGGTTTCAAAGGCATACTGTGCTCTTTGATATCTGTGGTGCACATACTTCTACTTCATACAGACTCTCTGGTGCTGAAAAGGAATTAGAAAAATCCCTTATGAATTTTCCCCTGGCATGAGCAGTGAAAAGCTTATACGCATGATCATTGTAAGACCAGGCAGGCAGAAGGTGGATGAGGAGAGAGAAGATGGGCAGCCTCAAGTCGTGGTACAGGGAGGAGATGCCACCCACACCAAAGGACAAGTGGACAGCTTTCTGCAAGCAATAAGTTGGTGTGTCACCTTCAGGTCAGACCTTAAGCAGGCAGGGGTTTAGGAGGAGAAAGTGTTACGTGTTGATCTAAAAGGTAAAGAAATAGAAAAAGTGTAGTGAGCTATACAACTGCATCTATCTAGTAATGGAATTACAGAGTGAAAAAATATAGGAGAAATTTGTCTTCAATTTGGAATCATGTCTGGACAACTCTTTAAAATACAAAGTGCCATTGGTTAACTATCAGCTGCAAGACATATATACGTATGCATATATATATATATATATATATCTGCAAATTTGAGGTTTATTCTGAAGTGCAAGGTGTAAAGAATTGAAAGTAAAAGCAATATTCTAGCATTTTTCTCAAAGACAATCTTGGAAGTCTTGCTATAATGAAAGAGAGCAGGATGTAAACCATAATGAGAAACATCAGAAAGCAATAAAACAGATCAGATGAAGGGAATACAATATACAATTGTCACTAAGAAATCAAGATACAATTCAGCATCTATATTGTACATTATTACTTAATGTATCTTAGTGTGACAGCTGTTAGTGACATGGCCAGTGTTGTCTTTTCTGGATCGATTCATAATCATGTTTCTTATAGCACTTAGGAAAATTAAACTCATAAATTCAATAATTAAGCAGTCAAGTTAGCATTGAGAGATTTTTTTTTTTTTAGAATTTGCAGAAATGCATAGAAGTGTATTGACAGACATTGGCCTTGTGATCTAACAGTTCAATCTTTTCCCCCCCAAATTCACCCAGCACTTTTTAACCTCCTGAAAAAATATTTGAAAAGTTAATTCTTGGCTCTAGCCTTTAAAATCTGGCCAGCATTAACTTTACATGGGCCAATGTAAAAGCCATAAAATCCTTGTCCAAAATTTAGAAATGTTTATGCAGTGAAACTACCTGCAAGTTACAAACATGAGCCAGCTCCAATAAAACGTGGTCTGCACAGACACTCACTTGCATCTGTTTGCCATTACTGCTGCAGTTGTTCCTATTGTCATTCAAGTGATGGCAGATGCACAGCTAATTTCTTAATTTCATAGAATATGTTGTCTAACTGATGTACTTACAAAAAACCAAAGATTTTGAGCACAATTGTGATGAATCAGCGGAGTGACTGATTCTGAGTCTGCTCAAAATGTACACCCACAGAGATAACTGTGCCTACTGGTGTTAAAAATGTGCTTCTAATTGGGCTTTCCTGGAAATCAATGCTTTGTCTGCACTCCAGGACACAGCTTCCCCTTCATGCTCCTTAACAGGGCAGCAGGCTTGGGCATAAGGTGAATGATGCAGTCTGCAATTTATTCTGGCAGCAGAAATACCTATGGAGACCATGCAAACTTTTAGTGTAAGGATGTCTAGGTCCTTTAAAAATGATAGTAGCAGGCTAGCAGCAGCTTTTTGGGGCGTGTTTTTACAACTCAAAGTGAATGTGAGTGGCGGCTGATCTGTGACTGAGTTCAGTGAACAGGAGGCTGAAACCATGATTTTCTTACCCGAGGGCCACTGGAATCTCTCCCTGGAGTTGCTGCTTAGGCACTGACACTGGTTACCTCTGATGTTCAGCAGGTTTTCTGTTGGAAATTTGTGAGAATGCAAAGGCTGACAGGCTTCCCCCTGCTAGTGGGTTTGAATTGGGCTGGTTTTCTCCTGACAAACCACTTTGAATGTACAGAATCCATAAATCTAATGTGTTGCATGTGCACTTTTGGAAACCCCAGCAGTAAATGGAATGGTCACCAGGCATTAGTGACACAGTCTCCTTCAGTGCTCTGATACTTGATGAAATGCAGTGAACATATTTTCAGACTGGGAAATATTCCTCTTAAGGCACCTGTTTTACCACCATTGCCTCTGCAACGTACACCAGGCAGTGGTGGCATTATCATATTTAAGAAGTTGGTGCTAACTGCAGTCTCTACAGACACTTACTTCCAGCCACGGTATGCCAGGAGGCTCCGTTAACAGTGCCATCCTCCTTTTGGAAATCCTCTGTGTGACACGCTCTCCTTCGTGCATCTGTCATCAGCCGGTGAGTGGAGGCGTAGGAATACGCAAGCCAGCGAAAGACGTGGTCATCTGGGGTAGGCGTGTAATCCTGGGTTTTCCACATCGATCGCACCATATCGTAAGGGTATGCCACCACCAGCTCTCCTCCCTGAAGATTTCCACCCAGCACAAAAGGAATTTTTTCCATCCATGCTATTATTGCCCGTGTCTCAACTGCCACCTGGGAGAATAAGCAACAGCAGCTTTGATTCATCCTGTGAAATTTGATAATCTTTTTTCAAAGTCAGACCAGATGCAGGACTCCCACAGTGAGTTTCTTAGCATGGAGTGAGTAGCCAGCACAGAGATGTGGCCAAGAGGAAGGGCTTCTATATGGTGCCTGCCAACCATGCTTGAGAGGTCGCCACCAACCCATAAAAACTAACAAAATCTTAATGTTAGTAATTTATGCAGCAGGAACATCAATGTAGAGTGAAGCCAAGAGCAGCAACCAACAGACGTGTCCGATCATGACATTGCTCCCCCTGCCATCAACTGAAATGAGTTTTTGAAATAAGGGATTTTAAGCACAGAAATATTTCTAAAGCCCACAGAACTTCCACAGTTAAGTGTCTTCCTCTCAAATTGGGGGAATCTCAACCACTATAAATAGTTGACATTATCTTTAAAAGGCCATGTAAAAATAAGTTCATTTTTTGGCATTACAATCTAGTAAATTACTTTAGTATAAGCCACTGCATTGATTTTGCACATGCCTCAGCATTTGCTGTGTTGTTTCAGATAGGAATATATTTCAAATAAGAACAAATAAGAAAACCCCAGGAAAAATCTATATGGTGACTGAGTTTGCAAAGAGCTCATTGACACTGTGAAACTAGGGAGAAGACTGAGCCTTTCGGTGGGTTTCTCTTTGTCTACCTGTTGCTGCCTAAAAGTTGGATATCGAGTCCTCCAGGTTCTTGCAACATCCCAGGGAAAAGATGATCCTTTGGGAAACAGTTCCCTTCCCAAGGGCTGCCTCTAAAATACGAGGGTGAATGGTACTTTTACAGTGCATTTTTATTTCCACTGACTAACAAAGAAGCCTAGACAAGTAGCTTAGATCAAGTATGTAATTTCACCTACAAGTTACTAATTACTCGAGAAAAGCAAGGCTCACACCTTCAGCATGCCCCAGCCTTTATGATCCCCTCTCTCTGGCCTTACTTACAGTGGCATTTTCAGACAGGTACCAGTCAGGGATAGGAATGTGATGGTTTGGAACTTTTCTTTTACTCTTCTTCTGATCTTCTGAATCCCAGAGTAAAGAGTTTAAATCGGGGAAGTTATTGTTGATGTCAATGCCGTCCTGAGTCCATCGTCCTAAAGACCAGCCCCCTAATTCTGAACCCTTAGATTTAAAAAAAAAAATTAAAAAAGGAAGAAAAAAAAAGATGAATGTTCATTCAGAATATGGCAACCTGTGAGCTCTCCGCAAAGTGTTCATGGATGTGTCAGAGATAATTTTATATAGAGAAATTGAAGGCTTCATTATTTAATGAAATGAAATGAATAATTGGATTTTTTTTTTGTTTGGTTTTGTATGAAACCTTGAATGAGGTGAAGAAAAATCCATGAATAATTACTGTGGGTTAGCCAAAATGCTCTGGTTTGTTTTCAAGGTTTCTATTTAAGACTGGTTGTCCCCTGGGTTGCGATGGAGATAGCATATATTCCTTTCCACAGCTGTGAGTGTGACTTTTGTATTCCAGTTTTCTACAGACTGCCCTGGAAGATTTTCCAGTGCTTTTGACCAGCCCCTGCAATTTTTCCTCCTAGTGTCTGTCTTCTTCCAGACTGAATTATTACAATGCCCAACACATTGTGCTCTCCTTAAAGACACATTATTAAATTTCAACTGTGGAAGAATGCAAATTTTCACGTGCTTAGCTTGATTTCTCACGAGAAACAGATTGCATGAATTTTCCATTTTCCATAATGGTCTTCCCACTGATCTATGCACATACATATATTGGTTTGTTCTGGCAGTCTTTGTGACCCTCCTTTCCATACACATCTTCCTGTTAGCCAATGTCACATAGAATACCATTTCTTTCAGCTTTTTTCTGAGTAAGATGTTTCATTGATTTATGTTTGCTTTGATGTGTCTATTTTAAATTTATTTTGATTGCTTATAAAATATGGTCTTTGAAAAATAATAATGGCAACAGGACCATGTTTTATTCATCTACCAGAAGTAAAATAATTCCTCAATATGTTCATAATCATATTACCGCTTTATATGCCTTGTCATATCCATCCGGGTTGACTGAAGGCAGAAGGTGGATTCTAGTATCCTCAATGAGATTTACAATGCGTGGGTTTCCAGCCAGGTATTCCTGGCACATAAACTGCATTAACAAAAGGATTAGCTCACGTCCAAGCACTTCATTCCCGTGAGCTCCTGCAATGTACCGAAACTCTGGTTCACCTTTTGAAAACAAATGGAGCAGAAATGTAGTCAGAGCAGCAAATAGGTATCTAACCAAATTTCACCGATGTCAATCAGCAACATTTCACTTAAGAAGAGTCGGAGATATACCTTAATTGAACAAATGATAGATGAAAATGTACCTTTACAGAAATAAATAACTAGTTTCTGTTGCTAATTTAGTAGAAGAGGCTTACATGTCAGTGATATCTAAAGCCACTGTGTAAAACCTCCAAAACCCATTTTCCATTAATTTTTAGTTATACTCACAATTTCAACACGTTACAGGTAGATTTTAAAAGTTCTGATAATCAAAATAAGATGAAAAACACATTGCTAGTAGTTCTTTGGGACAGATGTCAAGGCTCTTAAAGGATAACAGTCAGTAACTGTACATAATTGATCTCTGACTTCACACACTCCTTTTCCTTCACTAGTCAAAAAACAGGTTCACCTATATTTTCCAAGGTTATACTGAATACCACAATACTTGCACTCAACTACAAAATACTTCAGTTGTAAATAGGAATAGTGCCAGCTATTAAAAAATTCCCCATTATTTAGTTGTCCTTTGTATGAATAACACTTGCAAACATCAACAGGACAGACCCAAACTGGCCAAGCTTTGGCTTGTGGCTGGATCCACCCTCCCAGTTTGTCTGGCCCATGATACACCCCTTGCATGTTTTCTGCAGGACTCTCAAAAACGGGTAAGTGGGCAAGACAGATTAGATGAATCATTTTGGTATTATTCTGGTGTTAACACCTGAGATTCAGAGTCTGCAGACCAAGGTCAGCCCCAAGCCTACTGAGATATTACATCTATTGTGCTCCGTCCCTTATGGCAAAGTAGAGACACATCTTAGGAGTGTGTTGCAGCACACTTCCTTGCATGGTGTGAACACATATCTGGCTATATATGGACATGGCAAAGCACAAGATGCCTTTATTCCAAAAGATGCTCCGGGCAATATCATAGTGAGATCTTTATTTTTCTCCGCAGAAGGACCAAAGACCGAATGAGTTTCTATTCTGAAGAATTGTATCACCATAGGAAACTGTACCCCAACACTCACCAGTGAAAGATGATTTGGGAGATTTGACCTGTCCTTGCTTGCAATGCATTCACACCATATAAAAAATGTAAATTTCTATCCAAAGCTACATAAATGCCCACAACTAAAATCCATTCCCCGGTGCTAAAATTCACTTTTATTTTGTTATTGTAAAGAATAAAATTATCATTAAAAAATTTGATCCCACATTCAAAATGGCTTCTATTTGTGCTCACACTCCTCTTCCCAATTTAGAAATATAATGCTGAAGTTCCTCCCACATACATTTGAAATCTTTGCTGCTGTGAATATAATTCCATCAGTGATAATTACTGCAGATACAGAGAATGAGGAGAAAAAAAAGCCAAATCCCAACACCCTTCAACAGATTTAGTTAGACTAAATCCTAACCAACTTCGTGTTCTCCTGGGTTGTCAGAGATCTCAACAGCATACAGCTTTAGTCCTTGGTTGCTTTTTCCAATATTGTAAATTCTTGTGATATTCGGGCACATTTTATTCACAGTTTTCATCAACTGCCAACAAAAAAATGACATATAGTTAGACAATGCAGCATCAAAATAGATTCACTCTGAATTCTTTCATTTCAAATTTGTTGTGGCAAAACCTCTTATTTTCTGATTATTTCTTTGTTGTAAAAGTTTTATGTTTAGTTCAAATTTATGGCTCTGCTATCACACAAAATAATGTTCAGCAGCAACAAGCTGAATACTGTCTGCTGAAACGCTACAGCGTAGGTGAGGTTCAAGATCTTTCTTACACGAGATGTATTTGCACTATTATCACAAAATTAAGGACTTGAGGGGGAAGTCAAATAGGAATAAAACCAGCAGAAACATACTACTATACTATCAAGAGGTAGTAAAACATGTTTTAAAAATGTTATGCAATGGAAAGCAACTAGCCACCTTAACATTTCTTTCTACACACTCTGTGATTTACCGTAGCTGAGTGACTTGAATGACCCAGGGTGTTAGTGGCACGTCAGTGCACATATGTTACAGGTTGCCACAGCCACATTCTGCCCAGTAGTGGAGATTTCTCTCTCCTTTGCCCTATGCAGCAGCAATTTAGTTCAAAACAAACAAACAGAGAAGGACATAATCCATTTAAACATTATTTTCCCAGTGAATTCAGACTGAACCAGCCTCCACTCATGTAGAAACCAAGCCCACCCTTCCTGTATTAAAACGTAAAATCTCATATGGGAAAATCATTAGTTAAGACAGTGTTGATGTGGCCAAAACAACTAAATAGATATAATCTGGATGACTCCATAAACACAGCAAAATATACTGCTTCAGTAAATAACAGATTCATCAGTATTTGCTCACCAAGTTTCAGCAAAAAATAGAATTAATAATGGTAACATCAACAGCCTGTCTGAAAACATTCCTCCCATCAAAATCTACTTTATTCACTGTTTCTGCACATAATGCATGACACGGTCAAAATATAATCTAGTAGCCTTAGTGCTTACTAAAGTGTTTAGGCAAGGCCATGGTTAAGGGTATAGTTCTGTTTAAATCAATGCAGTTACACAGATGTTACCCAGATAAGGATATCTGGAGTCTAAGTTGTCCCACAAACACTTTACTGTGGCATTTCAGCTGAATGTTAAAATTTACGAACAAGATTGAAAATTTATGTGTCAATAATACGTTATTGCAAATAGCTTTAAATGACAAGAAATTATCTGTCTCTATTTTTTTTTTTTTTTATTGGAAGGCATTAAAGAAAGAAATAAGGACTTTCCTGTAAATTGAAACACTAGGGACTGTTAATTAAGCAATCTTTTCATAAACAAAGCTGCATACATTATTGAAGAAATAGCATAATAAAATTCTTTGCTCACATAGTATTAATCTAGAAGCAATATTGGATGATCACAAGGCTGATGATTTCAAAATGCAATAATTAGATGTGTCTGATTCCCATGCCACCATTTAGCAAATCTAAGTGGAAACACAGTTCACATTGGGAAGAACATCATTAAAATTCCTCTCATAAAAGACTTCCCTTCTATTTATAATCATGTTGCAAAGAGACTAAAAAGATGTTATTTTTCTACATTTGTTCTTCTCACATGTTGGTTTTGTACATGTGAGAAACAATTTCTTTTGCAAATCTAAACTCAGCACTTGTCTGAAGAATAGTCAGTTATGCTCTTTCAGTGTATTGTCTAGTTTCCTATCTACTTTTCTTCACTGCTGTCATCATCATCATTGTGCTGCTATTTTCATGGAGCTCCGTTTAGCGTTCTAGGCATACATAAGTGGGTATGACATCATTTGTTGTTCCAGCTGAAACACATAGGTGAAGTCAGAGGACACTGTTTTACATTTTACAGTGTTTGATTTAAATGAGTAAGCTTCTAACTTTTTGAGACAGACTACCTTAAACCTTCATGGTTAACCTGCTCATAACGAACCAAATATAGTATCAATGGATATGGAGCTATGGACGTCTTTCTAGAGCCTCACAGACCAAAACTTAGCCAAGGTCTACTGTGTGGGGATTATTAGTTTATATCCTACTGAAAAGAGGATGAAGTGGATTATTATTGGATTGGATACCATGTTTTTCTCCAACAGAGAAAAATATTATTTTTTTCGCACTCTGCCAACAAGTACAGATATTGCATTAAAAGAAGGTCTATTGTACTTGGTTTGTGTGTGTGGCAGGGTTTTTGGTAGTGGGGGAGGGAACTACAGTGGTGGCCTCTGTGAAAAGCTTCTTGAACCTTCCCCGGCTCCAAGTTGGACCCAGCTGTGCACCAAGGCCAAGCCAATTAGTGATGGTGGCTGTGCCTCGGTGATAACATATTTAAGAAGGGGAACCTGGGAGAAAGTGTTGGAGTTGTGAGGAAGAGTTACAAGACATCTCCATGAACACTGAGGTCAGTGGAAGGAAGGAGAAGAGAGGGGGAGAGGGGTGCCAGAGCAGACCCCACTTGCATCCTGTGGTGAGATGGCAGGGCCACCAACCTGCCACCCATGGAGGTCACTGGTGGAGCAGAGGCCGACCTGAAGCTTGTGGAGGAGCCCACACCAGGACAGGAATCTGAGCTTAAAGGAGGCCGGGTCTCTGAGGGGAGAAGCAGCTCCTGCTGTTGTAGTTTGGCACTAAGAGGACTGCAACACGCAGAGGTGACCCCCACTGGAGTAACATGGGAATGACTGCAGCCTATGGGGAGGACTCATGTCAGAGAAAGTTAATGGAGGACTGTTTTCTGGGAGAGGGGAGCTATGTGGAGCAGGGGAAGAATGCCAGAAGTTCCCCTCCTCCCCAGGATAGAAGAAGCAGCAGGCTGACCACAAGCCCTATCCCCTGCCCCCTGCACTGCTGGGGCAGATGAAGTAGAGATATCTGGAGTGGAGCTGAGCCCAGGAAGAAGAGAGGGGTAGGGGGAAGGTGTTTTCAAGGTGTGGTAATGCTTCTCACTGTCCTACTCTGTCTGTTAAGTGTTATTGTCGTTGTTAGTGTCTGAATTAAATTTATGTTCTTTCCCTAATGAGTTTGTCTTTTGACTGTGACTGTAATGGGTGAGTCATCCCTCCCTGTCCTTATATTGATTCTTGAGCCTTTTGCTCTCTTTTCTCCTTCCTAGAGCTGGGGGGAGAGGGGGGAGTGAGCAGCTGCACGGTGCTCAGTTGACCTCTGAGCTCAAACTACAACAACCATTTTAGCAGGTTAAAAATAGCTTTATGTAATGGATAAATTATGTTACTGTTCCTCTCCTTGCATCCTCTTCAAACTGCAGGAAACTCCCTCCTGTGCTGACATATCACTGCATCCATGCAGCTCCCCAAGATGTGAAATAGGGAAGATGAGCCTGTCCTCTCTGAGCTATCTCTGAAATCAAGCTGCAGAGCAGAAGCTTTCCTAACATGCTTGGCACTTCAGTGCTTGTAGGGTACCAAGAATATAAATTTAGGAAAGCAGTTAGAAAGATTTTAAATGTTCATTACTAGTGAGAAAAAATGCTGAGGAACCAAGTTCAAAGTGTATTACAAAGAATGGAAATACTTGTATTGGCCTTATTAAACTCCCCATCATCTCTTTAATTGCAAGCATGTGATTACTTTCTGAGCCAAAGAACCTTTCCTGAATTAGGGCAACTGGAGTAGACTCCACTGTGGCTCTTTTGATAACAGTATGGATATAGTATTGTAGTTAAATGTTTATATGTAAATACAATACTGAAAATGAACATATTTCATATTGGCTTTTCTCATACCCATTTCCTACGTATAGCACAACAGGTCACCTGAAACGTCACAGTGTTTTCTTTACGCTTTGTACAAACTGTCAAACACAATTGATGATCACAGTCAGTCAGGGTTTTATTAACAACTAGGAGGACTGTAAAACACTTTCACAATTACATTCACCAACAGTTCATATTTGACGGTTCCTATTTGTTTGTCATTACCAATTATTTACCCTGTTAATGCCCTGGAAAAAGACTGCATGCAGTCTTTGAAGAAGCCCCACAAAACTGAAAGTCCAATTCCTCCATTTTGCAGAAAAGGTGTATTAAATGTAGGTCTATGTGCCATCTACACTTAGAGGAGGCAAAAGGACTCTCAGTCAGTACCTTTCATGTTAGAGGTATTCATCCTCTGTGGAGATCATAAAATAATTTAGGTTGGAAAAGATCCTTAAGATAATCGAGTCCAACTGTTAACCTAACACTGCAAAGATCTCTGTATTTCTTGTTCTGCTGCGAGCCAAAACAGAAGCTACCTCCTCCTTGAGCTTGGAGACTATCAGATAGAGACTGTCAACCTGGCATTGCATGCAGCCTAGGATGTTTGCTGGGTTTTGCTCTATTCTTCTACCTTTGGTCGTTTCACATTCAAATAAACCTGTACAATTGGTAACAGATGCAGGGCTCTTCAATGTTCTGTATCATTACATCATGTCCATTAACACAGCTGACCATGAAGAGCAGCACAAGACTTTAGGGGTGCTTGGAGTCTAGCTTGTCCAAAGACGTGAGTCACATCTCGTTAAATTGGTTTCAAAATTAACACTCCTATTTCCTAAAAAAGATGTAATCTGGGTTTGTTATTTCAAAGACAAGGTTGTACTCAAATGTGCATCGCAAACTATTTCTGGGGATATCTCCCAACCATTTCAACAGCTTCCTATACAGCATGAATACATCGTGTAAATATTCTGGACTGTAAGGCAATTCTGACTTCTACATATGAAATACAGCGAGTGTTCCCACTGACTGAAAGAAGAATCTTGAATGCTCTTTTAAGAGAAAAAAATGGTACTATAAATTCCATCTTCCTAAGCAGAGAGTTCTATTAAAATAGTCTGACACTGAGAAAATCCCTCCCTCTCACATATACTTGACATATTGCAATGTAATGTAATGCTTCCAAAACATGGCCCCGGGAACACCCTCTCCTCTTCCTTCTTTAGTGTTTATGATAAATAACTTCAAAGAACAGCATTTTTCTAGGATAGTTGGCAGTGAAGTAGCTAACAAAACTGACAATAATGCACATTATTTTTTTCAAATAAATTTAAGTTTACTCTGGAAATTGACAGTTATTGTTCCATTTTATACTCAGGAAAGAAATTATAAAGTTCTAAAAATAGTTTTGGGGATGTAAGACTTACTGTAATGCAACCCACAATCTTCAGCCTACCAGCAACAGAAACCAATTAGAACCCAATGATCTCAATAAATTAACTATTTTGACACAGAGAAACCCAGGAATTGGGAGAGCATAGTCAAAGACAGTTCAAAACTGACCAGCTCTCAGCCACAGCCACAAATTTTCTACCTGTATGAAAAGTGGGAAAATATTCTGTTTTAAAGCTGCATTTTTTTTCCCAAAGATATTTCTAACCTGACCAACCTGTCTTTCTTCAAGGAGAATGTAAAATACATTTTATTGTTCTTGACAGTAATTATGCCAATTGAGTTTCTACTTGTCTCATCTTTGTGCTAAGAAATATAGGCCACAAAACCTCTACTGAAATAAATGTGTGACTCAGTGCACAATTGCTCAATAAAAACGAATGGTGATTCATGCAGTATAAATATACTGAAAATTCAGCACACAGCAAATGATTCACACACTTCAAGTCCAAATATATTATCTTCATAGTTGAAGAGAAAGCAGGCAGAAACATTTCTTTAGGACAACCCACACCTGTGTCTGTGGTGATATGAAGTTAGATTGAAAACAATAACAAAAATGACAACAAGATTGCTTGTTTGAAGTTAAAGGAACAAGATTAACAAGGCTGGTAGATTTAAACTTATACTAACAGGATTTTTTTTCTAGTGCTTTTTTTTGGTGAGTTTTTGGTGATTTTCACAACTGTGAATACAGAATTGGACTCTGTATAGTTTATTCTAATTATCCAAATCCACTAAAATACAGGAAAATTCTGATGGCTAAGTCAGGGTCAAATCTGAAAGGAGAAACCACTGTAACAATCATCACTCAAACACACATGGAAGAAGAATGATGGCACATTATGTGTAGATACTTCCTTTGTCACGTAGTGTCACTTGTTTAAGGTTAGATAATATATAAATTAAGACTTTGGAATTTTTATAGACTGCTGCTTTTAATGGATTAAAACAGAAAAAAAAAAATAAAATAGATTGCAGTCACTGTTCAATATTTTTAACAGGTAGAATTCAGATTCCATAAGACCTCAAAAGCCTGCACCCATCCACCCGTCATCCAGGAGGTCACACATCAGCCTCTTTGCCTACCTGCCTCATTTCCTTGTAGTTGTGATGCTTAAAGTCAAGATTATCTGTGGTTGTCATTTCATTTCTTCTGTGGTAATAATTATTTGGGTCTGAGAAAAGAAATAAAAGAATTTTCATGTGCTTATGAATTTCAAATGTAATGATGTGTATCCATAATGCACGCAAGGAATGTGGAAATCTGTATTCCACTGTCCTATATGTATTTAAAACAGGTTTTCAAAAGCAAAACTCAAAAAAATGACAAATTTGAAATATTTCTAATTACTGCACAAGTCAGCTCATATAGATCCATACAGAAGCAAGGAGGCAGCAGGCATCAGCTTGCTAAACAGCTACTCTGCATAAGCAACTAAACTTCAGTAGAAAAGCAGAAGGGTATCCTTAGGCTATGGAGGAGGGCAAAAGACACTGGAAAATGATGAGTCAGATGGAAGATAAAAGAGTGGAAAAAAATCACATCAGAAGAAAAAGCCACAGTAAATGTTTTGTGTCTACTTGATTAATTTCTTATTACAAGGAATTATCTTTTAGTTTTCTTGATGAGTATTTTCAGAGTCTATGCACTGATTGCAAAATACAGAAAGGATCTACTGTGCATATTAAACATTCCTGATTACTTTGCTAAACATGTTTTTGTTTTGGTTTGTTTTTTTTTCTTTTGTGGAAGTCAGAGGTCTTTTTTATTTTGAAATTAGCATATTCATTTCTATATGGATATAATTTATAGTTTGTGTGTTTTGAAGTATCAAAGGAGAATATGTAGATAGAACAAAAACCTCTGTTTCCTTGACTTTCCAGGCCATTCTCCTGGAAAAAAAAAACAGGCCAAGACTGTTAAGGCTCAGCTTTATATTTCTTGATATATGTGCTCCTGGCCTAATCTATTATGGTTTATTTTTAGAAATAAACAAGTTTATTTGGAAAACATCAGACACAATCCTTAATTTACCATATCTGGGATGTCTGGAATTTGAGGAATTGTTTGTCAAACCAGTGGTTGTCAGGCTGCTATGAAAAATTGTTTCCCTTCGCACAAAATCATCTTCATTTGGTTTAAAATTATTGTAAAAAAAAAGCCAAATATGAATGCCTAAATATCATCCTGTCTTATTTCAACACAGCCAAAAGACTCTGTCTAGAGAAGAAAAATGATGTTTTAAAAGAGTATCATCTAGCATTTCTGATTTTTTTGGGGGAAAAAGAAGTATAATTGTTAGTAGGAAGAATACATAGATACTGTCCTTAGATACAAGCACTTAATGAAATTATGAAAAACTCGTAACACTTAAAAATATCTTAACATTTTTAAGTTTCATATTTCTCACATTAAAATATCTAAATTCTCAAATTTGTTCTTCCCATAAAATTCTAAAAGCATTTGAGTTTTTTTCTTATGTGGAAAGAAAGCAAAATTTGAACTATTTAAGTTATTTATGAAATGAAACATGCAAGTTCCATTAAGCTTCACTGTAACAGTACTCATCTCTCTACCATTTATTTTCTCTTCATTCACATGCTCATCTCCATGTCCATTCCCTAATCTACAGCAGAAACACTGGAACATCAGTTGAATTCTGCTCTACAAATATGACTGAAAAATATAAAAAAAAAAAATCTTGCCTCAACAAAATCTGGTTATTCAGTGCAGTCTGCCCTTTCCAGTGAGAACTTATCCTATAACAAGGCCACCTTGAATTGGATTTGAATTGGAATCTAACCAGATGATAAAACAAGATTTCTTTGGTTATTAAAAAAAAAAAAAAAAAAAAGTTTTGAAGAATCAAGAGGATTAAGTTTCACATAATTCACCTGCATTTTTAGGTCTTCTTTCCAACATAACTGCAGGCTAAATTGATGCAAGTCCACTGACAGCAACAATGCTGCACTAACCCTGCTGATGTCTCTGGAATGTCAAACCCCTAAAGGTCAACCCATGTTAATTTGTAGAGATCACTCGCTAATACATTGATGACTGAGAAATGGAAATCATAAAAACCCCACTTCTTCTAGAAGGAGACAATGTATTTAATGCCACACAGAATATATTCACAACTGTAAAAATAGGCCTCTGTTGTGAAAATATAAAAATAAACATCATAGAGCTGCCAGGATGTTGAAGGTTTTCTCTATCACCATAAGCCAAAATATACAGCAACTGATATTATTTCCTGATACTTTAATCCCATTCCTTTAAAAGTCTGGCACTTTTTCCATACATCAAACATTAATTTCATGGGAATGACTGTGAATTCTGGAGAGTTGGTGGAAACTTAAAAAACTGTACAGTGAGAATGATTGTATCTCTGGTCCTTCCTCAAAAACAGTGTACAATTTGACAGCTCCCTAGAGAATTAGCACTCATATTTTGCCAGGCTCTACTGTGAGTCTGCTTGGATCACTGGATTTCTGCTGCAGCAGCAATACAGATGAGAAAAATAAAAGCTAAAATGTAGAAAAGCATACAAGTCTTGCGCACAGCTGGTTAGGTCCACGTTGGCAAAAATTATTTTCTTTAATAAAACAGAGAATAGGAGACTAAGAAATTCAAAGCACAGAAGAATTAGAATTGAAATATACTCATTATTCATGGCACTATCTCAGAGAGTCTCTCTTCCAAAGAGAAAAGATCCTGCAAAAGTGTGACACTCCTATTTATACAGAGGAATATGTTAGTTTTTTTCTACCACTAATCTATCTTTGCATTACCAGTAGAGCTAATAAATTTTGCAGTTAAAGGTAGCTTGTTACCTTCATACTTCTGTTCTCTGAAAGATGAATAAGTGCCTAGGAAGCTCTAAATTGCTCAACTACTTTCCAGCATAAGAGCTCTGGGGACTGCCCATATAAAGTACCAGAGAGGACCGATTGCTCAGCGGTTTGACATATAAAAGGGATTTTATGTTATATTACAGCTCTACATAGCACCTTAAGCAGTGCAACCTTGGTGCTTCCTGTTATTATGCTAACGGCAACAATGCGTGGTGGTCTTTTTTTTCTCCTTTAGTTTTCAGTGCTCTTTTAACTGGCACTGGAAAAGTATGAAGTGAGTTTGCAATGGCTTGCAGTTGAAATCAACGTTCACAAAACGATATTATCAAAATGCTCTCATTTAGTAAGTGAAGCTCGCATCCACTCCCAACACGATTTCTTCGTATGCCTCATTCTCACAGAAGTCCTGCAGTGAGTTGTACGGTCCATCATACTGATGGAGTTGCAAGCTCAGAAATGGTGCTCATATGGTACTCCAAATGGACAACATAATGAAGTCAATCTAAGTGTTTTAGATAAGTTTATAATAAAAATAATATTCTAGGCTAAATCCTTTAGACTGCCTTAAAAAACTCAACATGCCATTTTGCGAATGACTGATTTTTTTCATTTCCATATAAGTGAATATTTCACTTGTCTTCCCAAAATTGAACATGTCACAGACAGCACATGTGTAATCTTGAAAAAATCTGCTTGCAGATATCTCAGATGATTCTAAGTATTTTTCCATATGATCTATTTCATGGCAGTCATGAGCAATAGCATCACACATTAAATTGGCAATGAAATCATATTCTTCAGCTATACATGGATTCTTTTCTATATATGTTGACATATAGTCAAATATCAAACAACTAACTCCAGTTAAGTATAATGAATGCTAATAATGTGTAAGAAAAAAAACCAAATACTTAACTTGCAGTAGTTGTTTTTAGTACAGTTATTATTATTAGCTGTTATTAGTACAGTTTTATTCTGATAATAATGGTAATTCTGAAGATTGTTAATACTTCTTCAGAATAGCACACTTCATTTTACAAATAAAATATGGGAAAAAACCCTTTTAATGACATCCATTGCATTGCAGGGGGATGTTACACAACTGTCTTGATGAGCATGGAGAAACATAATACATTGACCTTTCCCAGGAGAAAGATTGAATTTAGTCTCATTTTTATTCAGTCTTTGCTCAGGCAAACTCCCCAAAAAGTTTTAAATTGCTCAAGATTAAGTTTTAGCTTTGCAGTGATAAAAGCAGAACACAAGGACAGACTGTCACTCTAAGCAAAAATTTACTCTCACAAGTAGTTTGCTGAATTTAGTACTGCTATCTACACGATCACTTATAATGAAAGATACTTGTAGAAAGTCACAGTTTTATACGAAATGAGCACAATTCTAGGCTTAACCATGTAGCCTGACAATAAGGGACCAGCAATGAAAATAAGACTGAATGATGCATCCACTGCAAAACACAGTACTCCATTACAGAGTAGTTAAAGTTAATTTTTTATCTTGGATGGAAAGTGATGGCATAATCATGATACCAATGATAGTTTTCTATATAAGAATTATTAAAAATTAAATTTCATCACAAATTTATTCCATTAATATAATTGCCTATTGCCTTGAATACTCTACAGTATAAATAAATGCATGAAGAACTCAGCTAATTTTCTCTCTCCAATCTCTGGGTACTTTTGATCATATGTAGTTTCTTTTTGATTTTTCTTAGGTTTGAGAAAGAACAGGCAAGGAAAGTACATCCATCCCTTTGAGGCAATTGCAAAAGATTGTGTGTGTCAGTCTACATCTATGCAAAACCCAACATTTTTGGAAACTAGTGAGGAAATTAAATTCTGGTGCTTTTGTCCTTTTTATCCTCTGCAGGAAATGGCAGCACTACCCTCTGCTCTAAGTAAGATTTTGTAGCATCTTTGCTCCACAGCTTAATGTTTTTCCCTTGGTAAAACAGCAAATGACTTCTGTTGCCTGAAAAGATAGCACCGACACAGTCAGATAACACAGCTTCTTTTTTTTTTTTTTTTTTTTTTTTTATAGCTACTGTTAACAGTCTAGAGAAGGTTGTTTGTCAAAACTAGCCTACAATACACCAAAAATGTATGACATGAATAATACATAAGCATTTCACTGATAAAAATTACAATCATTTTATATAATACTATTAGATAATCAATATCTTCTCTGCTCCAATTATCTAAATATTATTTTCTCATGATTTCTCCAACTTTTAGTACACCTAGCATATGCAGGAGATTTTATTAAAAGAACCCTAGAACCCTACCCACAGGAATGGGTTCTAGCTGTCTTTAACCATTTCCATCACATTTTGCAAGTGCTAACAAGCTTTCCTAGAATCTTAGTATCTTGTTCAGGTTTCTTCTTTATCTGTTATTCCTTTCTTACCCTCCATTGTGAGCCTACATGATGGAAAGCTGATACAGAGTACGGACCGAATGCAAATCACTTAATTTATTCAGGGATAAAACCTATCATTACAAGTTTAAAAGATATGAAAATAAATTCATGGTAATGAAAAATTACTTACTTTCCTTCAGCCCCATTTTTTTCCTTAGGATATTTCCCTATGCCCCGTCTGCCCGTGCACTGTCATTGCCTCAGAACATTGTGCATGGAAGCTCTACAACACAACCAAAGTGCTCCTCCTGACAACTTGATTTCTTGTTTGTTCACACTCAGGGTACAAATATCATCAAACCCACTCCAGGTATTCATGGAAACTGAGCATGGCGTAATTTCTTTCATGTGTTTTGGGGCTTTGGAAAGGATAGAGGTGTGTGAACTGACAGAGTTCCACCTTCTGATTTTGATGAATCTGGGACGCTTGCTCAGTTTTATGGAGGAAATCCCTGTCAGAAAAAAGCCCTTGATTTCTAGCTGTGCAGTCAATACAGTGTTTGGCAGTGCTATCAAAGAGGTTGGACCCATGGCCAAAACAGTCAGTTATCAAACTTGAAACAAGTAAGATGACACCAATAAAGGGTGAAGAAGTCCAGTTACAAGGAACAGCAAAAAATAAGTCATGGCCTGTAGTAAGAAAACGTGCATGGAAAGGCCCCTGCAACCTGGGGAAGAGCTTTTTCTTAAGAGCCTTGCGTGCGATGAATAAAATGAGCTAGAAGAAAGAAACGTCAGTTCTTTCTGAGCTAAAAAGATGGGTCAGCAACTTATCAAAACCTATTAGTTGTCTCAGTCCAATTACATTTTGAATAAACACACCCCATTCCCATTGTGTTTCTCAGTGAATGATTCTGGCATTTTCTTTCAGGAATAAACTGATACAGCCACTGCAGGCAATTAACTCAATAAATGACTACCAGGAAGAAGCACTGATGCTGTTTCTATGCTAATCTAAGACCTGCAACAATCTGTGGCAGCACTCATTGTCGCAGTGCTGGAAGTGCAGATATGTTCTTACCTTGGTAGCACCTTCCCACTGATACATGAAGCTGAAGGGTGACAAATGCTAACACTGCAAAGCAGAATTTGGGCCTGCATGGGTGTATACCAAATAAGAATCTAGTGTAAATAACTGCTGCACTTAGTAAGGATCACCTTTCTAAATATTGACATTTTTGCTCTTTCTTCTTCAAGTAGTTCTATGGAATAGAAAAGGATCATGAGAATTTCCCTACAAATTTCTCTCCAAAATGGTATGAGCGTCATCTCTGTTATTCCCTGGAGACCCCTGTGCCTGTCCTGCATGCCAGTGAAGTCACAGTGCAGAAGAAAGCTACGTTTTTCCTCCAGCCTCACAATCTGTGTTATAGAGAGTGGATCCTCTGCAAACCCGCACAAGAATTTGGGATAGATCACTGCTCTCCAACAGCCCACTAGTTAATTCAAAAACTGAGGGGAAATACTGGCTCTGGAATTGCACCTCCAGGGTAAAAGGTACAATGTGAAACAAGCTACCTGCAGAGCTGGAGTTTTCTAAACCAATAGTTGAAATAAATCAGAATCCTACTGAAAACATGGATATTCACATACATAGGACACCTCTGGTCACTGCCATTCAAGTCCAGGATGTATTTGCTATCTCCAGAAAAGCAGCTGGCCAAGAGCTGCTAACCTTCACTGCTTCATGGTAATACACCTACAGACTAAGTTTTATGACAATATTTGCCCCATACTTTGTCAGAGAATTATCTCTTCCATGACCAAGATTTTTTGTTTGTTTGTTTGTTTGTTTGTTTTTGTTTGTTTGTTTGGTTTTTTTTTTTCCATGAGTATTTAAACATCTAAAGGACAAAAATTAGGCTACCTCTGCTTGGCATGTGAAGACCCTACATCAACAGTGGAACTGGAGGCAGCAAGTCTCTGAACAGCAGCAGCAACAGTTAAAGTTGTAATGATAGGCTCTGGAAAGGCAGTTCTCTTTCTGGCTCTAGTATTTCTGAAAATACTATTCATAGTCCCCTGCAAAAAAAAGAAAAAGCTATCCCCAAGGTGACAGAATTTAAGATCAAAGGGAAAAAAAAAAGTAGATGAGAGATGTGGAATGAGTAGAGGGCAACTTAGAAAAGGTTTAAACAAACAGTTTTTCAAATATTCATATATATACCTGTGTAGACACAAATTCACCATAAGAGTATTTACAATGTGCTGAATAGAAATATGGTTTTGCCATAATTTGCAGTATTGAACAATCTTTTTTTTTTAAGTGGTCTTGTATAAGGTTTCACTTTGCATACACTGTTTAGCAAAACCCTAATTGCATTTTTCACTCATATAAGAGAAACTGCTAACACCTGAACCTCGTGCTAAGCATCAGGTTGTATCTTTTCCACAGTCTTTACTGAGGATAGGACCATTTACCCTCACCTGAGACTTATCAAGGATCATGCTGGATTTGATAACCTTGAAATTTGCTAGAAATTCTTTACATCCCCAAATCCCCTTCTTCCCTTCTACAAGATAATCACTAGTTCAGTCACAGTATTTGCTCTCAAATTAGTTCAAGGAAGTCCTATGGCCTGTACAATGAAATAAAAAAAAAAAAAAATTAAACTCAGACTACATAATTATAATGGTCCTTTCTTGCCTTAAAAGTTTAAGACATCTGAAAGTGACTGTCCTGATACATAATCCTATTACCTCCCTAGTACATGTGCACTCAGTAAGATTAATTGCATTGCACTTCAGCCCAAACAACAGGGAAAATCTTGTTAGATCATACATGCAACCTCGTTTTATTAATAAAGCCACTCATAGATACTATGCAGTTGTGTTTGAAGAGTTATCCTGATACTGTCCATGTATCTGGACAGATATTTTTGTTTCCTTTTGCATAACTCTACTCATAAAAGATAGGTATTCTATTGAAAGCAAAGATACACGAAGGAAATAAAATTTCTGAGACTTGGCACAGGTGGCCACATCAACATCAACTGAGAAAGACTCTTACCTGGCAAAGGACACCCTAGGATTTCCAGTCTCATACAGATGCTACCTTCTTCGAACCAGGACCGGGGGTTTATACGGATATAGCGTGCAACCAGTGGCACCGGCAACATATTGAGAACTGGGATCTCTTTCTCACTGTTTCCTTCAAAAATCTATGTAGGCCAAACATATGGAAATGGCAAGATCAGTTCTTCAAAAAGTCTTTTAGCATTTTTGGTGATAGAAATAAATAAAGTCACCTGGTACAGCCCCACATTGATGGTGGCTCAGGCCAGAACTGCTCTTCAAAGAACACAGTCCCTCCATACCCCTCAGAGAGGTGCAAAGGAGCCAGAGCTCTACACCCTCTCTCCATCAAAAGGCATCTCATTGGCATGAGATGTCCACAGGGACCAGCAGACTGATGCTAACACTTGCATGGGCCATGCAACAAGAAACATGTCTCATCACAGGCAAGACCACTGCCAGGGTGGCATTCACATCCATAGGCAGACACATGCAGATTTATCATATAGGATATTCTGGGTCCTTCTCTATGTTATGTAATTTGCTCTTAACATTAGCGGGATCACTGAGAGATAATGCCTTGTAGTCTTGCACTGACTAATCTGGAAAATCAAAACTCCTTGAGGACAGCCCACACTTTCCAACCACTGCTCTGCATAAAACATCAGTTTCACAATACTCACCACATCTCCAGATTCATTTCTGACAGCAGTCCATGCATGACTGTCATTGCTCACCAATACTCTGTAAGAGGTCACCCAGTTACTCCTTCAAAAAGACAAAGAATATCTAAGTTATTTTTTCATAACTTAGAATGACTGAAAATTATGTTTAATGTAATAAAGCATGTGAGACTGCTAGCAGTGGAAATCCCACTTGGCAAAGCCATGTCAACACTTGTCTGAAAAAGTGACATACAAATCTAGATTCAACAGATAATTAAAACAGCCTAGCGCATAGAAGCAAAAAAACCCCAAGATAATATTCTGGGATTCCAGGATGTGAGGGATTATTGCTTTCCTTACCTTCTATATGCAGAGTTTGGGATAAATGGCTTATCTAGAATGGATGTATCAAGTATTCAAAAGTCTTACCTTTTCAACTACAGAACATATATTATTTCTTCTGTTATTATGGGAAAAAAAGTAATAAAACCTCTAGGGTGAAAAGTCCATGAATTTCAACCAGCCAAATTTTCATTTCTTCCAATACAAGAATGACTGGAACCTGCAGTCATTCTTGTATTTCTTAGCAATAGATAGGAACAAAGAGACAATTCTGTCTCTGCACAGGAGAGTCCAATTGATCACAATACTAGTGTGCTACTACAATATCTACATCAATCTTCTGTATGCTGATCTTTCTAGTGGCCCGCTATCTGATTTACAGCAAAATCCCCTTCAATCTAAAAAAGCAAAATCTTCATTCGTACTTAAATTATGCTTTGTCTGTATTCAGCTAAAGAAGATTGTGAGAAGAAATAAAATGCTGCTTACTATATTCTGAGAGGAGTTAAATCTACATAGCCTTTACACAGTCTGGGCATTCCCCATGATAAAGTATATACAGCTATGGAGAAGGTAATGCCCTGACTCTCATATGTGTTTGTCTGAAAGGGCAGCAGTAATTTATTTTTTTCCCTAACATCATTCTTGTTTCAACAGACAGTGACTTGGAGGAGAGTTGTGGCTTGGAGTTATCTTTGTACTATAAAGTCAGTCCAGGCTGATTAAATCCTCTATTCATGTATATAAACTGATTGTATGTAACCAGCACTTCTCTAGAGCAGGCACTCTTGGACACGGGTTCTTAGCTAAGCTACACAGATTTCTGGGATTGAACCCAGGGTAAGGAAAGCTCTCGGGACTAGAAAGAATAAGGGCAATTTTGGCAGTTATGGGAGAAGTAGCAGAGCATATGGATCAGAGATAAGGGAGTACGTGGAAGGACAGACACACCTAAGAAAAGCTTCCCCTTGTACTGTACCCATACAAATGCAAATTTGCTTTTCTTTTAAAATCAACAAATAACATTAGCAAACTACACAGGAACACACAGGTTGACTTCACTGTGTTTACGTTTAAAGGGATAAACTAGCTTTTATGTGTTCACTAAAAGAAAATCAGTCTTCTAGTGAAGACCAAAAAAGGGGCAGTGGCAGAACAAGAGAAAATTCATCAGCCACAAGATGATCACAAGTTCACCCAGCTTTTTCTCGTACAAAATACTGACCATCAAATAATGCCTAGGTCAATGCATGGCAGCAGAAAATGTATAATTTTACATTTTGATCTACTATTTCATTTTCTGATTATCAATGGTCCCAGTTACACAAAAGATTCAAACTGATGTCCAGACTTACAATGACACCTAAACCCAAAGATTAGATAAATTGGATTTTAAAAAGCACTTCTGTATGTAGCATATGAATATCCCCAAAAGTCAAAGATGAGAGGTGATTTTGAAAAAATGACTCAACAAACCCAACTTTGTTTTATACACTAAACCAGTCCTTTGCAAATCTTTCACCAGTATTCTTCAATAAATTGATTTTGCCATTCATTTTAGTTTAAATGAAAAATCTTGACTATTGCTAAGCAGACTGAATTGTTTGTTACTGTTTTGGAAAGATGAATACATCTATCACTTGTAATGCATACAGTACTTCAATTTTTCTTAAACAACATTAACAAGTTAGTAGCACTCTGAAAATACTGTCTGCCTGTGACTAGAAGATATCCTGGGTTAAGGGACTTACTGGAGATCTACGAAGTGCCACATTGGCATCTCAAGTCTTCATGGCTGTAAAATGATATACAACAAAATAGACAGTGACTTCAGCACACTGTATAAGTTTCTATTAACTCTTGTAAGGAACTTTACGTTCTTCCTTCAACTTCTCTGTGATTGTAAGGGGAAGGAAGGCAGATTTACTTCTAGCAAAGATGGAATTTGGAAATGGCCAACATCAAAACTCCAGGAAGAGGAAATACAGATTTTTCTGATTGAAAAAAAAAAACAACCTTGAGAACAAAATTAATGGGTTTGAATGGGGGTGGCAGTGGTAGTGTACATAGTTAGTGCATATAAAATTGTGTTAGATGATGTTGGGGTTTCTGTTTTGTTTTCTTGGGGGGGGGGGGGGGGGGGGGCGGTTCTGTGTTCTTTTTGTTTGTTTGTTTAGTATTGGGTTCTTTTAGTATTCTTGGCTACTTTTCAACACCAAGTTAAAAGACCAAGACAGTCAATGTCACAAACCAAATAACATCGTTGTTTCTGAAGTATTACAGAACTTTTTTCACTTCAGCTGCACAAATAGGATTAGGAAGGCAAACACAATACATCCATATTCATTACTCTACACCTGGAAAAGAAATTCAAACAGAACACCAGAGTCGTATAAAAACAAGACAAGAGTGGACATTCTCTATAATTGAGAATTTTGCAAGAAAATCATGGCACATATAGAAAGTTCTTAAAACAACCATCTTAATTTAGTGACATGGGAAAATGTTGCTGTTACACTAATATTTCCAGGCTAGGAATTTATTTACCGTATTTTAATTTTCCCACTCCCTACAGTTACAAAGGTTCAAACCTCTCCCAGAGGAAAATGTATACTAATCAGTCGTACACTTGAGAGGCAACAAGTAACATGCTTTCCAGAGGCAGTCTGCCAATTAAAATACAAATGGGACTATATCCAGTCTTGTACATTTGCAGTATAGAAGGAATACAGAGGGCCATGAGAGGAGATAAATCAGCATAAAGTAATAAGTCTCACACCACATCCTATTAACTGTGCTTTCTTGTAAGGAATAAGCATTCTCTTTTCATTTGTTGAGATGCAGAATAAAAACATCACAGGTGACCAGATCCTTCTCCCACTGGCCCTAAATGAAAAGCTGCCTTTAGGGTCTTAAATTCTTCCCCCTTTTTTTTCAGCATCATCAGAAAAACAGCTTCTGCCATTATTAAGAAGGCTGATGTAAATTCAGATTCCTCTTGGAAATGGCATCTTCTCTCCCGAAGTCACATTCCCCGTAGTGGGGAAGGGAAACTGCACGTAGTCTTGTGTTCAGAGTATCTGGAAAACTAGCAGAAGCTAACGCACAGGGCTTCTGACTGGGCAGCTGAGTATCTTTAAATGCCAGATATTTCTGCAGATACAGACCAGCAGAAGAGCATTCGACATACTAAATCTTCTTGAAAGCTGCAGATTTTCTACACATGTGCAGCACAGGAGGTCTGATGCTTTCAGGAAGCAGATGGATGTGTTGCACATGCTTGAATCAACAGCCAGTCTGTTTACAGTAAGCACAGTGCTTCCTGGAACTGAAGAGTTTAACATGTACATGGTGCTCAGTTTATTCATGTAGACATCGAAATCTAAAGCTTTCAGGGAAATCCATCACAGAAGCATGACAGCTAAAGCGAAGTCTCATGCTAGAAGAAATATTCTGGAATGTCATCTGCTTTGTGTTGTTACCTGATGACAGGAAGATCCCTCTCTCATTAGGTTTGGGATTTGCAGACGTTAATTTCTCCAGCACATCACACTGAATGTTTTCAGGGCCCATCAGCACAGAACAATAAAGCTAAGGAAAGCTGAAAGTGAGCCACAAGCTTCACAGTACTTAGAATGTCCCTGCCATTGTTTTAGAGAAGCTCTTCTGAATAAAATCTCCCTGGACCCACTATTATGCTCCTCCCATATTTGTTGGTTTTATAGAGTCAAGGAGACATGATTCAGGGAAAGTCCTATGCCAGCATTCAGAAAAGAGTACACAAGTTATCAAGCTCTTTCTTGACAGGAAGCTAGGCAATGCAGAACTTACTGCATGACAATATCATCAAAAATATCTAAGGTTACCTCTAGTTCATCAAGCTCTAGCAGAAATTGTTACTTACATGACTGCCTCACGAATTTCACCAATACTAGAAAAGGATCATGACATACAGATTTGACAGAAGTCATTTGGATTCAGGTGCTTCCCATTAATAATCCTTCTTAAAATTTATGTCAGCTTTATCTCTCCAGGAGAAATCTATCTGAAAAGTCTCAGTATCTATTGCCAACATCAATCAATTCATTTCACAGAAATTAAGTGCAAAAATAAAAATATTGTTCAAATTCACTTAATGTGGTGGATTTTTTAATTGTATTTAATTAGCTTCAGGTTTTTACCTATAATGCGTTAGCTTCAGGCAAGGCTTATTTGAACATCTCTGATTTAAAATTCAGTATCTTGTGTCGCATGTAAATGTTCAACTTGTTCATGTCCATCTGAAAAAAAAGACAAACTAAGGGATTAAGTGACTTGCCCAGGGACAGAGAGGAAACCAGAATCAAAGTGGAGAATTAAAAGCAGATCTCCTACAGCCTTAGCAGGTTCCCATCCAGAGAATCAGCTTTTCCTTATCTAACCACATCATCAGGCTACTGAGCATAGGGAAGGACGTCACGACAGCACCAGAACAACAAAACACTTCCTGTCTTGCCTTCCCCAACATAATTTCCTTACTTTTCTTTGTGTGTTAGCCACATAGATGAATCCCAGCTTGGCACAACACACAGCGAGTGTTAAATGAGAAGCAGTGGAGGGATGCCAGGCGTTTGGCTGCCCAGCCTCCAGCAGGCAAGTACATCAGCTGAGACTTCTGACTATTTGGGTATGGTTTTATTTGTTTGAACAGCATCTGCTGTGTGTAATATTTTAAGGCCAAGTTTCCCAATTATGGAGAGCTGAATAAGCAACAAGTGAAAT